GGCCCGTGGAGGACGGCGAGATCCAGGGAGTGTGGCTGCTGACCGAGTAAGCCGGGGCTGCGCGCTCCTCTCTGGGGGGAGTCGCCCCGAGCCGCCGCGCAGCACCTTGCGAGCACCTCCCGGGGTGCTCGTGCCACGCTCAGGCGCCCCGCGCCGCCCCTGCTGCCCTTCCAGGCGGGCTGGCTTTGCCTGAGTCGAGACAGTCGCGTCCAGTGTGGACTGAGGCCCTTCCTCTGCTTGCAGGGTGGATCACTGGAACAATGAGAAGGAGCGGTTGGTGCTGGTCACGGAGCAGTCACTGCTTATCTGTAAATACGACTTCATCAGTCTCCAGTGCCAGCAGGTGGTCCGGATAGCGCTCAACGCAGTAGATACCATTTCCTACGGAGAATTCCAGTTTCCCCCGAAATCGCTCAACAAGTAAGTCTGTTCAGAGTCCGGTATCCTTGGATGTAAGCGCCAGAGTGGACCTTACAATTCAGCCCTTTTAAATCAGCCCCCCAAGTGGCATATCTTCTGTGCTATTATCTATAAGCATAAAGGCCCCAGCTCCAAATATCAATGGGAAGTTCCTTAAAAAGAAGCGACTTCTGGGCAATTGAGTGCATTAAAAGGAAATCTGGCACAGAAGGCAGCTATTAGGCTTGTAGTAAAAAGATTTACATGAGTTCAAGATGCACTGAAGTAGATAAAAAGGAACTTGGATGTTCTTCACGTAAAGGCCAAACTCTGCATTTTTTCTCCAGCCAGGGCCAGATGCATGACACATCAAGTCCTGCTCTGGCTAATTTTTTAAAGAGAAAAGGAGGGTCCCATTTTAATTTATAGATACCATTAAAAGTTAGACAAATTTGGAAATATTTAATGACCAACTTTAAGGAGTTGATCTTTTCACTGTAGGATAATTTTCTGAAATGTGAGGAGCCTAGACATTACTACAGTCAGTTAAGCTGTAGAACTTAGATTTTTGATGGAGAGATTTGGGTGGGGAATTCAGGAAGCTAAAATAAAAATTTTAGCTTTTGGTTAATATTTTTATTTTAAAAATAAAAATTTATATTTAAAAATAAAATGTTATTTTTATTAAATGTTGGTTAAAATTTTATTTAAAATTTCATTTTAAGGAACATTTAATATGACATAAGGGAAGGGAAGGTTACACTTGCTTTTCACTCATTTGGATAGCCTATCTATCATTATTCCCTTTTTTTTTTTTTTTTTTTGAGACAGAGTCCCACTCTGTCACCCAAGCACCAGTGGTACAGTCTTGGCTCACTGTATCCTCCACCTTCTAGGCTTAAGTGATCCTCCCACCTCAGCCTCCCAAGTAGCTAGGACTACAGGTGCCTGCCACCAAGCCCAGCTAATTTTTGTAATTTTTGTAGAGATGGAGTTTTGCTAGGTTGCCCCGGCTGGTCTCAAACTCCTGGGCTCAAGAGATCTGCCATCTTGGCCTCCCAAAGTGCTGGGATTATAGACATCAGCCAGTGTGCCCAGCCAGTATTCCTGTTTATTAGTTTTTAATCATGTAAAGATTACTAAAATGATACATTTAATAACCAAAATATATTTAATTTGTCATATTTATAAGTACAGTATTTAGAGCAATTGTTGAGATTAAAGTTACTATTAAAAACCACTAGCCATTTTCCATTGTGATATGTCATAGGTCTTTTCTGTAGACGTGAAAGTGCTTTTTGCTGTAATACTCTCCTAACTGATGAGGCTGTCAGATTGTCCGTGGGGACACTGTAGCCTGTCATGCTAAGTCTGGCTATTTCTTCTGACTTTTCAGGCGAGAAGGTTTTGGGATTCGAATTCAGTGGGACAAGCAAAGTCGTCCTTCCTTCATAAACAGATGGAATCCCTGGTCTACCAACGTGCCCTATGCCACTTTCACAGAACACCCGATGGCTGGCGCAGATGAGAAGACAGCATCTCTGTGCCAGGTAAGAAGACAGGCATGTAATAGCCGCACCCCCTGCAGTGACGGACACCCCCCCCCCAGCCACGGAGACACTCAGGTCTGCACTGTCCAGCGGCCACGCGGAGCTGCTGGGCACTTGAGACGAGGCTAGGAACAGTCAGAGAGGAAACTCTCATTTTAGAGTTTATTCCCTACGTTTTCAGAAATTCTGGTTAATTTATGTTAAAGTAGCCCTGTGCGGCCAGTGGCTGCTGGTCAGCCTAGCTCCGTTATGTGACCTAGCGGCAGCAGACCCAGCCGTGCCAGATGGCCAGTGCGGATGCACACCAGGAGAGGAGGCCTCGAGGCTGGGGTTAGAGCAGAGCCCAGAGCCTGGCGGGGGTCCTGCACTTCCCCAGCTCTGTGCCTCGGCCTATTTACTGACCTGGTAGGTTGGGTGAGGGCAAAGCCACTCAGCCCCTGTATACAGGAAGGGTTCTGCAGGTGCTGGCTGCCATTGGCTACAGAAGAGCATGGTGGTGAGATTTCCACACACCTAGAGAGCTCCATGGGGACGAGAGTTGAGGGACTGCCAGGATGTGGCAGAGGCAGCCCTTTCAAGTGAAGGGACGAAGAGATAGGTGGCATTTGGAGGGATTTCAGTGTCTCAGAATGCTAATTTTTTCAAGTAATAGACGCTCTTATCTTGCCTGCCAGTTAAAGCTCCATGTTTTTCTCTCTTTAAAGTTGGAAAGCTTCAAGGCTCTGTTAATTCAAGCTGTCAAAAAAGCCCAAAAAGAAAGCCCTTTGCCAGGACAGGCGAATGGCGTGCTGATCCTGGAGCGTCCCCTGCTCATCGAGACCTACGTGGGACTCATGTCCTTCATTAACAACGAGGCTAAATTAGGCTACTCCATGACTAGGGGCAAAATAGGCTTTTAGCTGGCTGCATTCTGGGAGCTCCTCCCGCTCCCGAGAAGGCCAAGGGATGTGGGGGCTGGGGGACTGGGAGGCTTGGCAGTCTTCATGCTGCCCTGCTGCCGGCTGGAAGGATGGAGGTCTTTTACCTTTAGGGATCTCAGCACAATTAGAATAGTGAAGTGAATTCTATCTATTTAATTGGATATTGGACTCTGCTAATACAGGCTGCAGACAAAAGCCAAAAGACTGTCGCTGTCTCTGTGCTGCTGGTATTTCATCCTCTGTAACTTCAGTTCTGGTGTTTTCCTCGAGTATCTACTTGTACTTGGCTTCTTGCGGTTTTTCCCACCCCCGCTGGCCCAGCACGCGGGACCCACAGCACGCCCCTCAGCGCTCGCATAGGCTGCTGAAAACGGAGGCACCTGGTGCCTCGAGTGCCTGCAGTTGCAAGTATGTTTACACTTGGTGTCCAGTTTTGTATTTTAAAATGTTCCATTTGTACTTCAGCTCATCTGAAATCAGCCAGCAGACCAGTTGACTTAGGCCGGTTTTTTCCTGTTGGGCCCTTTGTTGCCCGGTTGTTTTTTTGGAATTGGTTGCCTTGAGTTCCCCTTTTTTCCCCATTTACCCCAGTTTTTTTTATTCTTTAGGTCTGTTTCCCAGACCCAGAAAGCTTTACAGAAAATCATTTTAAGACAATTTATTAATTTGAGAAAGTCACCTTGACAGTTCTTTGCACACAGGTTTTACAACTCTGGATTCTGAGTTTGGATTGTATTCATATTTAAAAGGGAATTGGGTAGTTTGCTTTTTGAATAATGCACTTTAAAACAAGGAACTGTGTCAGGCCAGCACAGTGGCTCACGCCTGTAATCCCAGCATTTTGGGAGACTGAGGCAGGCAGATCGCTCTAGCTTAGAAGTTGCAGAGCAGCCTGGGCAACACGGTGAAACCCCGTCTCTACCAAATATACAAAAAACAGCCGGGCGTGGTGGCGCGTCTGTGGTCCCAGCTACTCAGGAGGCTGAGCCAGGAGGATTGCTTGAGCCCAGGAGGCGGAGGTTGCAGTGAGCTGAGATGGCGCCACTGACTGCATTCCAGCCCGGGCAACAGAGCAAGACTCCGTCTCTCAGATCCTTATGAAGCAGCTGATGCCTGCCTTGATTCCTCAACAGCTCCAGCATAGACTCGGGGCTTTGTCCAAGTCTCGCACTAAACATGCCTGGGCTTTGATGTGCCTGGAGGATTTCCCCACAGGGACCCACGCACCTCCCCGTATCTACACAGCTTGCTCATGTGGCTGGAAGCGCTGTTGTTAAGTTTCACGCGCTGGCTCGCCAGCTCTGTCTCTAGACTTGTAGCTTTAAGCGAACGGTGTGGTGTGGGTTGAGTGTGGCCACCTGCGGGATGTGCAGGGCTGCCTCGGAAGCTGGCTGGGGACTCCAGCCTCTGTGTTCATAAAGACATTTAGAAGTGGATGGATGTTTTTCCTTTTCTGAAGTTGGTATTAAAGTAGGTGCAACAACCAAGAAAGTGTCTCTTCCCTCTTTGAAAGCCTGCCCCATTTCTGCCGGCTCTGTGGGCCTGTGGGCCTGCTCTGCCTGTGCCACGAGGACTGCCTCTCATAGCAGTGCTGAGTATGGTTCTCTGCAGAGAGAGATGACGGTACGCAACAACCTAGGTTTGCAACTCTGAGCCCCCCACCTGTGGTGCCAGGCAAGCCCGGCTGCCTGCCGAGCACCAGCTGGAGAGACTGATGGGATGGTTCTGGGTGGTTCTAGGCACTTCTGCAAATAGCCAGGGTGGAGACCGACGCGCACTGGTTCTCAAACCAGAGTAGACGTGAGACTTCCTGAGGAACTGACTCAGTGGATCAGGGACCTGCAGCTCCGTCCTGAGGGGACTGGACCTGGAGGTGGCGCTGCGCTCAGGTGCCAAGGCTCCCTTCCCACACTTCAAAGCAAACCCACTGTGGGGAGGCTGGATGTGCCCCACAGAGATCCCCCCTTATCCTAACACATCCAAATAGAAAACCCAGAGCAGGCCGGGTGTCTGGCGGGAGCTCAGTGGCCCAGGGCTCAGTTACTGTAGGGCTGTCCATCTTCCCTAAGACTGACCAGAGACTCGAACCTAGAAAACCTGCCTGTGACCTAAATGTTTCGAGAAGAGAAGCAGTTGTATGAATCAGCAAGTGTTTACTTCAAATAATAATAACTACAGTTTTATACCATACATATTTACAAAAATGCTTTGCTTTAGAAAAATAGAATCAATCACTGAATCCAGACCATCACAGGTGGAGAACTTCCTGGTGAAGCTCTGTGTTTTTTCCCACACTGGAAACACACAGAGTAGCCCCTGTTTCTGCACACACGTTACTGCACCACTGCTACGTGTGGCCGCCCAGCTGTCTGCAGGCTGTGCTGACCGATGCCTCCGTCTCCAGGAAGCAGAGGCAGACGTGATCCTTGCTGAGGAGGGCCATCGAGTCTCCGCTTAAATGCCAGCACAGAGAAAGCACTGCAAAGTCGCCTAGAGAGAGACAGGTGGCCAGAGGATTAGAGCGGGAGAGGCCCAGATTCTGGGGGATGGGCACCCCCTTGTCCTGCAGGCCAGCACAGTGCCTGGAGTGACCCACATAGGCAGAGCCAGGGTGCAGCCCCAGAGCTGCCTCAAGTCAGGGAGCGGCTGCTTCTAGCCCATAAAGCTGAGGGCAGCAGGTCCCCTGTGTACCAGCCTTGAGGTTTATGCAGACTCTGAGGGCTGGAGACAGCAGCTGGGCTTCAACAGCTCAGCCCGTGTGACGCCAGACTGCACAGAGCAAGCCTGCCACGTCCGTGGCCTCGGGGATGTGCTCACCTTCCCCAGGCACCTGCACCGACATGCATCCTGCTGGGGACCACAGGTAGAGCCTGCTGCCTCCCGTGCAGATGGCCAGCCGCGGCTGCTGTGGGTCCCACTGAAACGTGCGCACTGGGGACAGCTGCTCGAGCACCGCGAACAGCCTCAGCTTCTGAATGTCCCAGACCCAGACGGCATTGGGGATGTTGTCTGAGGAAGGAAGGACAGGGCACCGGTGTCATGCCTGCCTGACTCCTCTGTGTCACCCTGCCCCTCGGCCCTGCCCCTCTGCTCTGCTGTTGACACCACAGGAGGGGAGGGGAAGAACCGGTGGGGTGGGGCGGCTCCACCCTGCAGTCTGGGTTCAGTTGGGCCCTGCAGGGCTCCTGGCCAGGGCCAGGATGGCCATCACGGGCTGTAAAGGGCCCAAATGGGTTTCTTTGTTTTTTTTTGTTGTTGTTGTTGTTGTTTGTTTTTTCAGCCCTTTACAAATGGAGAAACCTTTAACAAAAGACGGGCTGCAGTGTGCCCAGCCCTGCTTTCTACTCAGCAGAGCAGAGCAAGTGAGCGAGGCGGAGGCCTCCTGGCTCATGTGTGGGCCTGCAGCTGCTGCAGGACAGCAGGCCCAGCACCTCGACTACTGCAGAAACTTGGAAGGAGGTGCTGTGTCCAGTTGCTTCTACACCTGGGGCCACAGGACACAGTAAGGGGTGAGACAGCACCCGCGTCAGCACAACTGACCATTCCTTGTCGCCAGGAAGTAGCTGTCAGGACTAAATGCCAGCATTCCTATGCCGATTTTCGGGTTTGCTCTGTCGGTAACAGGTTTCAGTGTCTGTAGGGAGACTGGGACAGAGGCGATCTCATCTAGAACACCAACAGAAGAACATGCCATCATCACCCTTTCAGGAAGTACGCACGCGGCTGAGAGGCTGCTGTGCCTGCATCAGGCATCACGAACCCAGCTCCTCTGTTCAAAGGGGAGGAAAGTGCGGCCCGAGGGCAGGAAAAGCTGAGCAGAGCCTGGCAGCTGCAGCGAGGGGCCTGCCCGCAAGTGCCCCAGATAAGAGTGGCACCATCACCTGCCAGGCCCGACTAGGTGGGGGGTGGACCCCACGTGCCGGGGGCTGACTGGAGAGGAGCATGGACAGGTCCCAGCTGCAATGTCAGCAGCTCCAACTCCTCGGCACTTTTCTGTCAACTGCCAGCATCTGAGTTCACAATCCCTTCCACCTCAGCATCGGTACCCTTAGACTTTCTGGCTGTGGGAAAACCATCATCACAGCAGAGGCAGGGGCTGTGGAACAAGGGCACCCTGGGCTCCTGGGGAGCGCCTCCTGCGTGCCAGGCTGCACCTGTCCTCACCCGTCCTGAGCACACACCGAGCCCCGGGGTGGGCCCATCAGCCCTCGGGGCACCGTTTCCTCTACCTGCAACCTTCAGATGCCCTCGTGCCCCTGTGGGGTGAGTGCTTTTTCTGTGCCCATTTCAGTGATGCGGAAACAGACACATAGGAAATGCCCAGAGTCAAGAGGCTGCATCAGAATCGGGCCTCAAGCTGGAGACACCGCTCGGGAGCACCGCCGGCCTCCAGACCCACTCTGAGCACCACCCACGGAAAAGTGTTTCTTTGAAAAACATCCCCCTCGGAGCTCCCGCTGTCAGATCCTGGTCTCCAGGGCTCATATTCAGTAACAGAAGCATTCATGGCCCACTATGCAATTCAGACCTCAGTCAACCTCCAGCCAACAGGCTGAGGGGCACGCTGGCCGGAAGCACGGAAAGGAAAAAAATTTTTTTTAAACATAAGGAACATCCGAAGTTTATCTGGACAATGAGGAATCTTGCATTAAAAAGGAAAACAAATGTCATCACATGTGCTACTTACATTTACTCTCTGAGCTCGGGAGAGGGCCAGCCCCGGCCCCGGGGGGCGGGAAGGAGAGGCAGCCCAGCCCCAGCTGCGGGCTCTTCTCAGCCTCCTTATACACCACCTAAAAGACACAAGGTGGCCATGCCCAGCTCAGGACAGGGACCCGGAAGATGAGGATAGATGTGGCAAATGCTTGTGACGGCACATGGTCAACAGGCGTGCACCTGCCATGACACCTGGTCCTGCTGCCACTGGGAGAAAGAGACGGAAACACGAATCCCGCAGTCCCGAGAGCTGAGATCACCCAGCCACCCTCGCTCGTGTCCTGCTGGGGAGCCCACCCTTATGAGACACAGGCAGCAAATGTGTGCCCTGTGATTATAGACGGGAGGCCACTGCAGCCACCATCATCCAGCAAGGGAACGGGCTTGGCCTTCTCCCCGTGATAAGGGGATACACAGAACACTTGCGCCAAGACAGCGGAGGCCCCAGGAGCAGCAGACACAGACCTGAGGTGGGGGCATCTGTACCCCAGAGCCTGCCAAGCAAAGGACAGCGGCCCAGGCTCAGTGGAAGGCGGGCAGCCCCGCGCCCCTGAAGAGCCCCAGGTAAGGGAGTCACCTGGCCTGGTTCGTGCCTTTAAAGCTTGGCGCGCTCTGCTGCTGTGTGGCGAAGGGATTTGGAGAATGCCAGAATCGCAGGCAAACCTTCAGGACCTGTGTGGCCAGCTCTGCTCTGGCTCGTCTGTCCAGATGCCCTGGCCTCCAGCCACATAAACCACTGGCCAGATCAGGAGGCCCCCTGCCTGAAACACCGTTTCTGCCCAGACACCGCGCGGCTTCTCAGCTCCTCCTCCTGGTCTGCACTTAAACACCCTCTGGGATGCATCCCCGTCTGTGGTTGATCTGGAACGCCCAGCCCCAGCCACTCACTGGCCTCTTCATCGAATCCAAGCCGCCTTTCACTCAGCTCTGCCGGTTGCAGGTCAACACCAGGAGGGCAGCATTTGTCTCTGGCCCCCGACTGTCTTCCAGGGCAGTGCCCACCGCACACAGAGGCGCGGCAAGTGCCCACTGCACACATGGATGAGTGGCCCACTCCTCGGGGCCCTTGCACTTCCTATTCCCTTGGCCTGGAACGCTCCCTCCCCGAACCCCTGAACATTGGTTCAGCATCTGTGCCTGATCCCTCGCTGGTGGCCACTCCCTGCCACCCCATGGAGACACCCAGCTCTCCAGCCCCTTCCCTGTCTCTCCAGCCGCACTCTGCAGGTGCAGGTGTCTGTCTGTTCTCCTCTGGCTGCGGCCCAGAGCACAGTGCCTGGCACGACAGCAGATGCTCAGTGTTTGGGGGCAGGAGACCCCGACCACTCTGTACAGCACAGGGATCTGCATCCAGGCAGACCACGAAGGAGACACCCGGGCTGGGGTGGCAGTGGCAGAGGACAGGCCAGGGCAAGGCCCACTTCAGACCCTCTGGACAGCGTGGAGGAGGAAGAACAAAGGCCAGGGCAGGGCCAGACATGTGAAATGTCACAGGAGCAAGTTTACGGTGATGGAAGTGCCCGGTTTAAATAATAAACCACAATCAAGAAAGCAAAAGTGAAGGAGCGGTTTCCCACCGCCCTCCCCAGCAGCCTGCTCCGGCAGAAACACGTGTTCCAGACTTACTATCTTGGGATTATTAATGGTTGCAGGATGCCCAAACTCCGTGATCATTTTCCAAGTCACGTGATTAAGGATGCGCACCTGAGGAAAGAAGCCACGCACAGGTGAGGCAGGGCCCGGCCGGCTGGGCGGTCGGACTTCCTGAGTGCCCTGCACTGGTTCCCACCTTTCCATCGTAGCTCCCAACTGCCAGGAACTGACTGCTGGGGCTCCAGGCCACAGACTTGATGCCCAGGGACCACTCGTAAGCGCTGTACGCGGACAACAACCGGCCGTCCAGTGAGTACAGCAGAATCTTGTACTGCAGACGAGACATTTCCGTTAACGATGAACACGTCCCATTCGCCGGGAACACGCCACAGAGGTGGGTGCTGCAGAGCGACACTGGTGCAGACAGCACAAAGCTGGCAGGACTGTCCGCATGGCCGCGGAAAAGCTGGAACTGCCAGCTAGAACTGAGACAGTCACTGGAGAGGCAGTGAGAGCATGAGAAAAAGGGGAAATTGGGAGGTCAACCTAATGGCTCCCTGATAAAAGTTCAACTCGGCCGGGCACCGTGGCTCACGCCTGTAATCCCAGCACTTCAGGAGGCTGAAGCTGGCAGATCACTTGAACACAGAAGTTCAAGAGCAGTCTGGGCAACATGGTGAAACCCCATCTCTACAAAGAATACAAAAATTAGCTGGGCATGGTGGTGCACGCTTGTGGTCCCAGCTACTGGGGAGGCTGAGGTGGGAGGATCACTTGAGCCCAGGAGGTCAAGGCTGCAGTGGGCTGTGATCACACCACTGCACTCCAGCCTGGGTGACAGAGCAAAACCCTGTCTTTTAAAACAAAGCTCAACTCGTTATCTGAAATAAGATAAAGCTAACTATATTGCAGCAGTCAGAAAGCATGAAATTCTGGGAAAAGCTCTCAAAAGCAAACACGTCACCTGGCCATCTTCATACCTCCAAGCAGGAGTCCCACACTGCCAGCACACAGCCGTTTGGGGCCCACTCGATCCCTGTGAGATCCTGGGTGTCCGTATCAAAATGCTTCCAAAGGAAGTGGGGGCAACATTAAATTTGGAAAATATTTTCGTAAATAAATAACTGCATTTATAACTTATGTTCTTAATGCACTTAATTTTCTTACATAGAAATGGACAAAATCTCAACAGCTCTATCCTGGAAATGCAGGAAATCCCTGTGGAGCTGCTGCTAGGGCTGCACCCCCGACAGGTGCCAGCATCAGTGCCTGGCCAGCCCACGAGGGCGGCTTGGTCTCCCCGCACCTGCACTCACGTGCACTCTCCCCGCTCACCTTTCCTTGCCTGGCCAGCCTCACTCCTTTAGACCCAGCTCAGACAAGTCCCTTCCAGAGCACTGCGTGGGTCCTGGGTTCTGTGCTCTGACAGCATTCCAGAGGTTGCTGTACCTTAACGATGGATTGTGCTGGAATCGTGTTCACATGTCTGCTGTGGGGGCACCTGGGCACCTGGCAGAGCACCCTGCCTAACGCAGGCCCTCAGCCAAGGTGAACTTCCATGTCCTCCCCACTCCCGATGTGGCACACACATGCGCAAACACTATCACATAGGACAAGGAAAAGGGCTCAAATGTGACGGCATCTTCACTTTAAAAACACCCGGGCATGTGTCCTTTTCACCAAGTCTCCTGAACACACAACCGGGTGCCGCTGGCAGCGATTCACAGTGTACCTGCCCTTTGTTAATACAACATCACCTTGCTCCATATCCTACCAAAGATCCCCCGGAATCTGGAAAAGGATCTACTTCACTCAGTCCCTCCACAGTCAACCAGGACAACTTCATTCCAGTCTGGGGGATGCCTTACCCGCAGGAGCTGCCAATCACTGCAGACGAAGATGCTCACGTAATCTTTGCAGTCGCGCCGTTCTGCCAGCGCCATGTAGCGGCCGTCCCTCGTGAAGGTGATTCCTGCGGGAAGAGGAAAATGCATTGAAATCAAACGGCCACAAAATCAAGCAAGAGAAACCACAGGAGTAATTCAGAAGGAAGGAGGAGGAAGAGAAAGCAGAAGTGAAAAGAAGGAAAATGGCACAACGCCGAGCACTGCTCCTCAGACAGGCGAGAACATTCTAGTGCAGAGGAGAAACCCCAAGGCACTGTGGCTTCACCCCTCACAACACAGTGCGTGCTGGGGGAGGGTTGTACACACACAGGAACTGGTTTGCAAGGCTCTGTGAAAAATACCAAGTGATGTGACCTCTGATTAATCACAAATGTGACTGAGAAACACAAGGCCTTCAAATTCCCCCATGGCTAAGCTGCGGGACACCCAGGGGTACCTCCAGCTAGGCAAAAGGTGGCTGTTTCCTGCCATGTTTATTTTACCTTTGAATTTAATTATTTGGAAGAAGTAAACTAAAGATGAAAATGTGTGGCCAGGCATGGTGGCTCACGCCTATAATCCCAGCACTTTGGGAGGCTGAAGCAGGTGGATCGCTTGAACCCAGGAGTTTGAAAGGAGCCTGGACAACTTGGCGAAACCCCGTCTCTACAAAATATCAGCCGGGTGTGGTGGTGTGTGCCTGTAGTCCCAGCTACTCAGGAGGCTGAGGTGAGAGGATCACTTAAGCCCAGGAGGTCAAGGCGGCACTGAGCTGTGATTGCGTCACTGCACTCCACCCTGGGTGACAGAGCAAGACCCTGTCTCAAAAAAATAATCATAAGACGAAAATGTGGAAGAAACTAGTTGAAAATGTTAGACTCTATTTGCCAGTTCTGTATTAGCTTAAAAAGCCCAGGCCAGAATTCATCATTCATGAGTGAAGAGAATACCTCAAATGACAAAACCGTGGTGTCCACTCAAGAAATGTGTGTGTCTCATCTGGAGGGGTGCTAATATGGTGTCCACTCAAGAAATGTGTGTCTCATCTGGAGGGACGCTAATATTCCAACTATAAAAACGAAAAACAAGAGTGTGATTGCATTTCATTCAAATGCAATTTCCAAACCGCTGGCAGCAACAGAGAAGAATGAAAGCATCATTTCAACCATGTAGCGTTTCATCCCGTGAAAGACACTGCGTGGTGTTCAGGACTCAGGAGTGGCGCCTCCCACTAGCTCTGCACTGTCCAGTTAGACGCGCTGGTGGTGGGCCACCCTGAGCCGGCCCCCTTTCTTCCAGATGGCTCACAGGTTTCCACAAGGAAGGGACACTGGTCACATATCCCTCCGGGATGCCCAGAGATGACGGCAAGACCTCCTGCCTTCGCAGAGATCATATTTAGTCCATAGACGAGAGAAAGCTCAGAACTGAATGTCTGAGGTGGGCCTCTCGACAGGCATCGGCTGGAAGGGGTCTGAACGCCCAGCTCTGCCACCAAGGTCAAGGAGACCGGCATCAATGCCACTGTTCTTCCACGTCTTAAGCCACATTCTCTTGAGTCACTGTGGTCATGTTTTAAAGGGGACTCTTGCCTTTCTGAGACACGCATGGAAATATTTACAGATGAAGCATGAGGAAACCTAAGACCTACTTCAAAAGAGCCCAAGGGGTGGGTGAATATAGGGAGAAGCAGACGGGCTATGCATTGATATGCTGTCGGGGGGGTGGGTATAGAGACAAACAGATGGGCTATGCGTTGATATGCTGTCGGTGCGGTGGGTAGAGAGACAAACAGACGGGCTATGCATTGATATGCTGTCGGCGGGGTGGGTAGAGACAAACAGACGGGCTATGCGTTGATATGCTTCGGGGGGGCGGGTAGAGAGACAAACAGACGGGCTATGCGTTGATATGCTGTCGGTGCGGTGGGTATAGAGACAAACAGACGGGCTATGCGTTGATATGCTGTCGGTGCGGTGGGTAGAGAGACAAACAGACGGGCTATGCGTTGATATGCTGTCGGTGGGGTGGGTAGAGAAAAACAGACGGGCTATGTGTTGATATGCTGTCGGCGGGGTGGGTAGAGAGACAAACAGACGGGCTATGCGTTGATATGCTGTCGGTGGGGTGGGTAGAGACAAACACACGGGCTATGCGTTGATATGCTGTCGGCGGGGTGGGTATAGGGACAAACAGACGGGCTATGCGTTGATATGCTGTTGGTGTGGTGGATATAGAGACAAACAGACGGGCTATGCGTTGATATGCTGTCGGCGGGGTGGGTAGAGACAAACAGACGGGCTATGCGTTGATATGCTGTTGGTGGGGTGGGTAGAGAGACAAACAGACGGGCTATGCGTTGATATGCTGTCGGCGGGGTGGGTAGAGAGACAGACAGACGGGCTATGCGTTGATATGCTGTCGGCGGGGTGGGTATAGGGACAAACAGACGGGCTATGCATTGATATGCTGTCGGTGCGGTGGGTATAGAGACAAATAGACAGGCTATGCGTTGATATGCTGTCGGTGCGGTGGGTAGAGAGACAAACAGACGGGCTATGCGTTGATATGCTGTTGAAGCTAATTCTGCCTACTTGAAACTTCCCGTGACAAAAAGTCAAACAGCTGCAAAGAAATGGCTTTTGCGTAGCTCCGATCGACTCACCCTGCAGACAAGCTTTTGGGTATTTGATGTAAGATACGGATTTTGTGCACAAGGACCAGACGGTTATCCGCAGCTGTTGGGGGAAAAGGGAAAGAGAAAGGAAACACTTCTTTAGCATCATTAGAGACTGTCTCAATCCTCAACCCGCCCAAGCATCCCCACGTACAGGCCTGACTGCTGGAGTGGATCTGTCGGGACCTGGGGGATTCCTATCCTCCTACTGGAATATTCAAATGCATATTTTACTGTGGTTAAGGTAAATTTAGTGCTCTTGGTTTTCTGTTGTTGTTGTTTTATACCAATATTGAGTGACACAAAGTTAAATCGAAGTGCATTTTCATTAGCTTTTTCAAAGTGACCACAGGTTGCAGGTTAAAATAACCCTGAGTTACTTAGAGAAAAATCTTATCTAGAAACTACCACGTTAGGTCTCCTTTATGGGAAGACAGAGGATGTGGAAATTGGATGCTGCCGCTCCGGGGCTCACCAGGGGGCTGTGAGCCTGCATCTGCAGCCCTGAGGCAGGAGCAGTCACTCAACACCCAAGAAGGTGGCCGCCCACCTCCTGCACGTGCTCGCTGGCCCGGCTGCATCTGCAGAGGGTTCTAGAACATGCGCTGCTGGACTGTCCGCCTTTCCACCCCTTTCCCTGACTCAGGGAGCTGAGAGCCGACTAGACTGGCACGGTGAGGCCAAAAGATGATTTCCTAACCAGGCCAATGAGGCCGTGCCTGCTGGAGGAGAGGCACCGCAGTAGGTGGTCCGGCCCTCCCCGTGGCAGCGCCGCGGGACTTACAGGGCTGCCGCGTCCCTCCACCTGCATTTCCCACTGAGACGCTGTGGAGCCCACCAGGGAATCATCATGCTTCCCACATACCCGGCCCACTGATGAATCTGGTAGTTAACTGAAATGTGGCCCAGGTGTGGAGACACAAGGTGTGGGGACACAAGGTGCAGGGACACAGGGCTGCGCAGCTCCGTGCGGGGTGGGGTGCTGACTGCCAGCTCCATGTGCGGGGACACAGGGCTGCGCGGCTCCGTGCGGGATGCGGTGCTGACTGCCAGGTCCGTGTGTGTCAGGCAGGGGCCCTCGGTGAGGATGAGGCCCAGGGTGGGGACCGCCTCCAGCAGTAACTGGAGCCACACGCAGCATGTAGTATCGCGTGTCCACAATGTCACTCCTCCAAACGCTGCCAGGTTTTCAGTATAGGATATTAACAAATGAATTAATTTAAATGTCTACGCATCATCTCTTCTTACAAGAGAAAAGAAAATCTGATGTCTGTAACTGTGTCTCCAAACAACATACACGGCGTTCAGGAGAAAAGTCCTGAACACACAGGTAGTGGATCCACAAGCTCCAGGGGTCACCGTGGCAGCACGGCAGGGCTCCAGTGCTGATGCTGAACCCGAAACACACTGGCCCTTCTGGGGACCGGTGCCTCGGAACTCCAGCTGGATGGAGCACTTGCTCCTCTAACAGCTCCGCAAGCTGAGGCCAAGGAGGGTGCTGGGGCCTGAGCGAGGAAGCGTGCTACTTCCCACTAGCGTGTCTGAGGCTGAAACCCTGCCCAAGCGGCTCAGCATCAGCAGGGCAGGGTGGAGCGCCCGAGCCTCTGGGCATCAGGAGCGTCCTTGTGCCACCCAGGGCAGAGACCCACAGGGCGGGGTGGAGCGCCCGAGCCTCTGGGCATCAGGAGCGTCCTTGTGCCATCCAGGGCAGAGACCCGCCTCCAGAGCCCACTGCAGAGTCACAGGAGAAAAACACATCTCCCACCCATGGCCCTGCATCCCCGTGGGGTGCGCCTGGCCAAGGCTGCCCACTCAGGCACATCTTAGGAAACGCACGGAGCACTTTAAGCCTCATTTTTACCTTCATCTCCCACAAAAACCAACAAAAAACCTTTCAAAGATAACTGTTTGCAACTTTAAAAAACCCAGTAAGAAAAAAAGGTGGTTAAATATACACCTTCATCAGCGCTGTTACCTTCCCCTGAGCACTGGAGAAGCCAGCAGAGACTCATGGGATGGGCTCCACAGCGCCCAGCAGCAGAAAGAGAGAACCAGGGATCCACACCACGACCCAGTGCGCTCAGGAGGGAAGGAATGGGCTGCTGATCCACACTACGACCCAGTGTGCTGAAGATGGAGGGAACGGGCCACGGATCCACACCACAACTCAGCATGCTCGGGGTGAGAGGAACGGGCCACGGATCCAGGCCACAACTCAGCATGCTCGGGGTGAGAGGAACGGGCCACGGATCCAGGCCATGACCCAGCACACTCAAGATGGGAGGAACGGGCCACGGATCCAGGCCATGACCCAGCACACTCGAGATGGGAGGAACAGGCCACTGATCCATGCCACAACCCAGCACTCTCAAGATGGAGGAACGTGCCACCGATCCACGCCACGACCCAGCACACTGAAAACCAGCCAGGCGCCAGGGGAAAGGAAGCAGACGCACAGCTCCACGCACCACGGCTCTGTGCAGATGGGATTCCAAGGAGGCAGTGCTGCTCGCCCCGCAGCAGGTACCCACTGCCGGGCACAGGTGGGAGACGGACTGAGCACAAGGGGCACCAGCAGCCCCGCACCATGGAGTGAACAGCCTCGGTCCTGATCATGGTGGCAACAATGTGCAAAGTGACTCACTCAACTATCCTCTTAAAGTGGGTGAATTTTATTGCTTATAAATTGTTTTAATTGCCTTTATTCAGATATAAGAAAAAGTTTTCAGTCTGGATGTATTTTTAAAGCTAACTATAGGCTATTTACAACACACTCAAGTTTAAGGATGTAGAAATGTAGAAGGTAATAGGATAGAAAAAGACGTTTCATGAAAATCCTAACCAAGAGAAAGGTGGCACTGCCGCATTCGTACCGGAAAAATCAGACTCTGAAACAAAAAGAACCATGAGACAGAAAGAGGAATACTTTACAACAAAAGGCTTGGGCCACCGTGAAAGCATGAAAACTGCTTCACTAGGAAATCTGTTTACAAACAGTTAAAAGTTTGTATGCAGCTAACAACAAAGTCTCAAAAATACATTTAAAAATCTGGCAGAGCTGGGTGTACTGTTGTGCACCTGTAATCCCAGCTATACAGGAGGCTGGAAAGGAAGGATTGCTTGAGTTTAGGAGTTCAAGACCAGCCTGGGAAACAAAGGGAGACCCCAACTCTACAAAAAAAAAAATTTTTTTTTAAACCTGACAGACTACAAGAGCAATGAAGAGAAATCAGTCCTAGCAGATATTCAAACATACTACAGAACCTCAATAATGTAGACAGTGTAGCGTTGGCACATATATGGACCAACAGTGGACCAGAATGGAAAACCAGAAACGATCCTGCAGGTATAACGGAATTGAGTTCCTGCTATAGCTGGTGAAGATAGTCTTCTAAATAAATGCTGCTGGGAGCCAGGCGCGGTGGCTCACCCCTGTAATCCCAGCACCTTGGGAGGCCAAGGTGGGCAGATCAACTGAGGTCGAGAGTTTGAGACCAGCCTGACCAACATGAGAAACCCCATCTCTACTAAAAATATAAAATTAGCCGGGCGTGGTGGCACACACCTGTAATCCCAGCTACTTGGGAGGCTGAGACAGGAAAATTGCTTGAACCTGGGAGGCGGAGGTTGCAGTGAGCCTGGATCGCACCACTGAACTCCAGCCTGGGGTACAAGAATGAAACTCTGTCTCAAAAAAAAAAAAATGCTGCTGGGAAAAGGTAGAAATGGATTCAGACCCCACACCGTGCCCCACCATAAACTCCATGTGAACCTGCTTCATTTAAATGGAGCATGTGTGTGTGTGTGTGAGCGCATGTGTGAGCGCATGTGAGTGTAAGCACACGTGTGAGTTAGCACGTGTGAGCGTGCGTGTGAGCGCGTGTGTGAGCGCACATGTGAGAGTAAGCGGGTGAGGGTGTGTGTGAGTGCATGTGTGATCATGAGCACGTGTGAGCGTGTCAGCACACGTGTGAGTGAGCGCATGTGAGCGTGTGAGTGAGCACGTGTGAGCACATGTGTGAGTGAGCACGTGTGTGTGAGCGCATGTGTGAGAGTGAGCGTGTGTGTGAACGCATGTGTGAGCGTGTGTGTGAGCACACGTGAGTGAGCGCATGTGTGAACGCGTGTGTGAGCGCGTGAGCGTGTGTGAGCATGTGTGTAATGAAACAAGATAGGAAAGCACTCAACCTCACCAATAATTAGGGAAATGCAAACTAAATCCAAACTGCAGTATCATTTAGTCGCCTGGATGGAATCATTGTAATCCTGCCACAAAAGCCTTGGCAAATGAAACCTCTCCATCTGCTATGGCCAAGCAAGGCTCTCCTAGAGAGGCTCTCTGCATATGTGCCCAGGAGACGTGGACAATACATTCACAGCCACACAGTCCGTGGAGACACACACGTCCAGCAGGGAAGGACTGAATGGCGTTCCTCACAAGGCAGGGAAGGCCCAGCGATGCCTGTCAACACGGAGGAGTCTAAAAACAGTGACGTGAACAAGCAACAGCAGAGACTGCAAAGTACGAGCCCCTATAAATCAACTTTACACTGCACACCAAGCAATGTGCTGTTTAGACACATCTATACAGTGAGACTCAAGAACAGTGAGGATGTGACTCACACAAGATGCAGGACAAAGGTGCCCTCGGGTGGGGAGGGCATTGCTACGAGGGAGAGCAGGGCTCTGAAAGCATGGCGGTGTTCCACTGCAGGCCTAGGGGTGAGCTGCTTTTGATGACTCACTGAACCTTGTCTAAAGGGCGCAAGCTTGCCTTTTCACGTTTAAGTGCAAGAGGCAGGGACGTCTCTCATGCTCCACAACACCCTCATGTGGGGTGGTGCCTTCGGAAGGGTACCCAGTGGCCCCGCTAAGCCCCGGACAGGGGGCGGTGCCTTCGGAAGGGGACCCAGTGGTCCCACTAAGCCCCGGACATGGGGTGGTGCCTTCGGAAGGGGACCCAGCGGCCCCCGCTAAGCCCCGGAGATGGGGTCGTGCCTGCGGAAGGGGACCCAGAGGCCCCGCTAAGGCCTGGACATGGGGTGGTGCCTTCAGAAGGGGACCCAGTGGCCCCGCTAAGCCCCAGAGAACGGGCCTGGTCCTCGCTCTTGTGAATGAGACTGATGGATGGTGCCTGCAGGCTCACTTCCTGGCCAGCAGACACGTCTGGAATTCCGGTTTTGTTTCCTCACTTGCAGTCATTTAAGTTTGCATGCAAAGTTGGAGACACATTTTGATATCTTGGTCAAGATGCCCCGTGCCATGAGGTTACCAGTCCTCGTCCACCACCTGGTCTTAACGTTTCCTCTAAGGCCACCAGCAATGTGGTCATGACCTTAGTCTTAGGTGGAACAATGTCATCTAAATGTACTCTATGAAAAATCAGTTTGCCTGTAGCAAAGGTGTTTTCAATATTGGTGTGTGTGACATGGGAGGCTCAACAAAACCAGGTTTTCATACATCGTTTAAGGTTTCTAAACTCCATAGATGGTAGTTTTCCTTCTGGGCCATTTAATAAGAGAATACAGCAAGGCTGACCCCATGCCGTGAGCCTTCTGGAGGACAGATTTGGGCCCAAAGCATTACAGGCCTGAAGACTGTTAGACTCAGCTGCATGAAAAGCTCAAATCATCCTCTGAAACACTCGGGCTGAAAGTGTCTTCCAATGTCAATACATAGTGCGGAGACGCTGGTGGGCCTTTGGTTCCTGTCTTATTCTCTGACAGCCCATAATAACAGACATCAGATTTAGAATGTTTTTTAAAATTTAAACTGAAAAAGATGTAAACCCATCCAGCCATCTGAAGCAGTTGATTCAGCAACCCCTCATGGCCAGATAAAACTTTATCCCAGCCGATGCCAGCTTGAAAAAAGTCGAATGAAACCCTACAAGGCGTCTGCAGCCTCACGCTGGGAGAAATCCTCCCAAGTGCCATCAGCTACGTGGTGTGCGCAGCGCATTGGGACGGTGGGTTTCCGCGCGGTGTGCGCGGCGCAGCGGGACGGAGGGTTGCCGAGGTGCAGCCAGCAGCCCAGACGGCTATGAGCACTCAGTGGACTTGGGCCCAAACACTGGGATCTAACTCCATCAGAAAAGCACATTATTAAAGAGATTCGTGCATTTTTTTGTATCTTAAAAAGACACTGCAGGCACCAAAGACCTGGTATCTAAACACTTGACATATGCCTAATTTTAACTTAAATGCAATTTCCTATCCCAGATCCCTCTGATTTACTCTCGGATATCAACATTCGCCTCCACGCTGAGCTCAGCACGGAGGCTGGTGTGCGGTACCTACAGCAGGTGAATCAGCAGCTACCGACGCCCCGAGCTGCCCTCAAGACAGGCTCCTGAAGGAAAAGTGTGAGCCGGCTCATATCACAGGGCATTTTCTATCGCTGAATAGGGACTGCCAAAATCCTAAAAAGTCTAAATTAAGATTTTAAAAATTTTTTCTTTAAAACCGGACAAAAGATCAGACAATAATACTTAATGGCTTATAATGTTCTGACCTAAAATATACACATCACTATATACGCTCCCGGCCCCCCTCCACCGCCCTAATCTACCAGCCACTCAGGAGCCACCTCGGTCATCAGACCCAGGGCAGCAGACAGTGCCTGTGTTCACGACACCCTTATCTGACTCAGTAACAGCCTAAAGCATGGGCAGTGGCGCTGGCCATCTGGATATGCCAAAGAAAAGCCGCAAAGTGCTTCCTTTAAATGAGAAGCTGAAAGTTTTTCACGCAACAAGGAAAGAAAAAAACAATCGTATGCTGAGGTTGTCGCTAAGATCTTCAGTAAGACCAAATCTTCCATCCACGCAATTATAAACAGTATATTGTCATCCTTGTTCTATATGATTATTGCTGCTGATCTCTAACTGTATCTAATTTATAAATTAAATATACCACAGGTATGCTGTAGAGGAAAAAACATAGGAAATACAGGGTTTGGTATGATCTGAATCCCCGATGGTCTTAGAATGCATCCCCTGGGGATGAGCAGAGACTAGCACACTCCAAACATCCCCTCGCACACTCCCCAGCTGTTTTGGGAGCAGAGGACAGGATCACACGGCCAGTGAGGTGCCTTGAGGCTGACACTTACATGGAATTCCGTGGTGTTGAGAATGTGGCGCCCGTCCGGGCTCCAGCACGAGGCCACCAGCCCGGCCGAGCCCTCGTCTATTTTGCAGTGCCATTCGGGCTGCTCTAAAGACCAGACCTGGATTGAGAGAAGAAAGAAACACACAAGTGCCAACTCATCAGCACCTGACAGCGAGGCCTCGCCGACAGACAGCTGGCTTAAAACCAGCGGAGACCCAATCGCACAGGGTGTCTTACAACCTTTCATGATGAAGGGCTGGTACTGGGTTCCACCGTAAAAGTAAGCCACGCTGCTTGGTGATTTCATTTCGTTGTCGTTTTAAAACAGTTTATTCACATTGTCATTCCTAAGACCTCATTTAGTTAAGCTCTGGACACATAAGAAAACATGACTTCTTAGGACTTCCTGAAACACACATGTACGAAGTGGTTAGATGGCTATCTGTCACCACCTCCTGCTTCAACTATATTGCTTAGGAAAATTTAAGGAGTACCGTAGTTTCCTTAAGTTTAAGTGTCTTGACTCAGAGAACATTATATTGGTTTTTTTTTTGTTTTTTGAGACAAAGAGTCTCGTCTGCGCCCAGGCTGGAGGCAAGTGGCCATCTCACGGCTCCACGTGCAAGTCTACCGGCTCCAGTGGTTTACGCATTTCTCTGGCCTCAGCCTCCGAGTGCTGGGACTACAGCGCGCCGCCACCTCGCCCGGCTAGTTTTTTGTATTTTTTAGTAGAGGACGGGGTTTGCACCGTGTTAGCCAGTGATTGGTCCAGATCTCGCTGACTCGTGATCTGCCCGTTCTCGGCTCCAAAGTGCGGGCAGAACTGGTTGAGCGTGCACTTGACTTTTTTTCCCAAAACTGAAAGGCCAGGAAAAAAACACCTCCTCTTCCAGTGGCACTCACAGAAGGTGTCCAAGCAGGCGACGCAGCAAGCCACACCGTGCACCAGCCCTCGCTTAGTACCGAATGGCGCACAAGATGAAGAGTGAGTCGGCCTCTGACCACTCCGATTGTGCTAGGATCTGGAGTCTCAGGCACGGTGCTAAGCTGAAGGTCTGAAGGGTGTTCACATCCGGACCACTAACGGTTATGGACAGCAAGGAAAGCCTAACGAAAATAACGAGAAGGCAGGCACCTGACATTCTCCACCCAAAAGAGGGGGCCTTCGGAAAGTACTGCCCTGGTCTCAGTGAACTGTGGCCTTGTCTCCGGCAGAGGTTTCACGTCTAGGATATCAGCGACATTCCCAGCCCCTAAAGATCTGTTACCTACCAGAGTGGTAATGTTTGAAACTCAATAACAAAACCCACTGATTTTTTTGTTTTTTTGTGAGATGGAGTTCACTCTGTTACCCAAGGCTGCGAGTGCAGTGGCGCGGATCTCCGCTCACTGCAAGCTCCCGCGCCACCCGGGGTTCATAGCTATTCTCCCTGCTCTAAGCCTCTCGAGCAGCTGGGATACAGGCGCCCCGACACCACGCCGGTATTTTTTTTTTGTATTTTAGTAGAGACGGGGTTTGCACCATGTTGCCAGGATGGTCTCGATTATTTCCTGCCCTCGTGAATCCATCCGCCTCGGCCTCGCCCAAGTGCCTGGGAATTATAGGTGTGAGCCACCAGTCTGAGCCAAAAGTATGTTTTTAACTCGCATTTAAAGGCTAAGACACTTGTTAAAGTCTTTCTAACTGTATGTCAAAAACTAACGTACATGGGAAGTAGCCATTGGAGAAAAAGCGTTTCTTGAACTAATAACCAAAATCTCTCCTATTTTTATGAAAACATCCTTTAGACAATTTCTCAAAGATTATAAAGGATAAGAATCAAGGCTCCCAGTTCCAAGGAAAATTGGCAAGGAACACTCCAATGCCTCTTATGGCAGTGCCGAATCAGAGCCAAAACAAAGAAGGTAAAAGAGAGGCTTTCCACTTCTGCACAAGTAAAGACACCGTCATATGAAGTCATTTATCTCCGTTAACCCTGGATTCCGTGAATGACAAAGCAGGGAAATGTTGTAGTGTTGGCATTGTGTCTGTTGTGTGTGTGTGGTGTTTTTTTTTGTTTTTTTTTTTGGTTTGTTGGACGGAGTGCTGTCTGTGCCAGCTGGATGCATGTGCCGATCCCTGGCTTACTGCAAGTCCGCGCCTGCGGGTTCACTGCATTCTCCTGCCCCCGCAGACTCCCGAGTAGTGGGGACTACAGGCGCCGCACCGTCGCCCGTCAGAAGACGGCACGTGGGCCCACCCGTCTCCGATCGCGCGACTTGTGATTCGCCGATCGGCCTCCCAAAGTGCTGGGATTACAGGCGTGAGCCACCGCGCCCGGCCTAGCACTATTTTCTTAAAGATAGTTTCTTCATGTCCATATTTGTTGATTATGTCCCTATCTAAGCAAACAATTTCAAGTATAAATAACACCTGAGTACTCACCTGCTGATTGTATATTATACTACAGTCTAAAGATCAAGAACTGATTTTTAAATGTTAACGGCTTCGTTAGTTTTACTTATCAAGGTCAAACTAGTTTGTGTTTTATGAACTGATACCAAAAGAGAAAGCCACATTAGTTTTCCATCGGAAAGAAGAGAGATGGGCGGGTGATTGCAGATTGGAACAAGCAGCTATCGCAGCCCTTACTTTCTCACACTGTAGCTTTGAAAACTGTGATCAGTTACAGTGAATTCCTTATGACATGGAATATTTTTACCAACACCTTGAGGAACCATATAAACTCTACTGCAAGACACTAAAACGAGAAGCATGGACCTGCTCTCCCCAGTCCTCAGGGCTTTCAAGAAGATGCCAGTAACAGATCATTACTAAGTGTTTCAGGGTATTTTGACCAGAGCGTAGGAGCCGGAAAAAACACCCAAGTTAGGCAAGCAAATGTACTCTTTCTCCTTATAATTCACTGAAATTTTTACAAATGGTAAAAACAAAAAACAAACCTCTAATTTAATTGGGGAGGGGGCACGTTGAAAAATATACCAAGGCTGAGGTGCCATTTAAACTGATGAGGTTTTCTGTTTTGTAGCTGATGATATTTTATGTGATTTGGAATAAAACCTCCATGAAGAGGTAAAAACGTAATTTGAGAGTTAAACTCTCAAAGGCTAGACAGAGCACAGGACTGTCAGGGGAGGCAAAACCTGAAAAAGCATCCTGACGCATCAGTCAGTTAGCAGAGGTGGTGGATAAAGAAAATGAATCCCACTTTTTAGGAGGCATGTTTTTTCTTAGTGGCTTTCCAATGCCAATTATCCCCCTTCTGAGGACATATGTACTCGGCATCTGGGTTATCCCCCTCTTCTGAGGATATACACTACTAGGCATCCAGGTACATACACTGTATGTTTTGAAGTTATGTTTAAAAGTTATAGCTCTGTGATTTAAGCACCTTTCTGCCACCCATGGAACAAAGACCTCAAATCCTAGCCATGAGGACAACTGTTTCCCTACCTGGGGATAGGATACTAGCATTTAAATCATTTATTCGGCATGTGGTAGAGGAGAAGAGAATTAGAGAAGCAGAGATGACAAAGTAGCCACACCACTTACCAGTTTACAGGCAACAGAATGATCAATTTGCCTTTTGTGACAAAATAACAACAAAGAGCCGACATCTCCTATACCCTCACCTGTGTGCAGTCGGCACTGCAGATAACCACCTTTCCAAGGGCACCTCCCCAGACCCCCCACCTGCCTAGGGTATCTTCCTGGGTCCCGCACCTGTCTGGGGCACCTGCTCAGGCCCTGCACCTGCCCCGGGTACCTGCCCGGGCCCTGCACCTGTTCGGGCACCGTACCTGCAGGATCCCCGAGCTGCCTCCACCCCTGGGCCACGCGGCCGCCCCCGGCCCTGCCCGCCGGGGACGCTGGCACCGAGGATGTCCTGCCCGCGGCCCAGGTCCCCGCCGCTCACCAGGTACTTGCCGTCCGGGGAGAACTTGCAGAGCAAGCTGGAGAGCTTGAACACCTCGGAGAAGTTCATGGCCGCCGCCTGCCGCGGGCGCCACGCTGCGCCCGAAAACCCCCGGGACCCCTGGACGCGCTGGAGTCCGCAACCGCCTCCGCCGGCCGCCGAGGCCGGAAGTCAGAAAGTGGAAGTGAGCTGCAGCCTATCAGCGCCGCAGGAGGCCGCGCAGCATTGTGGGGCTTGTAGTTCTTGTACCGCAGGGCTGTAAGGGAAACGCCCACGTTTCTTCCGACCCGGGCTTTCTGACCAGAGAACCTTACCTCAAGGCCGGGAGGCCTCGGGGTCCTCTCCAGCTAGGGCTGCGGATAAAAATGTAGAAAGCATAATAAAATTTGAATTTCAGATTAACAGCAAATCGCTTTCTAGTTATAGGTATGTTCCTAAATATTGCACGGAACATGCTAATACGGAAAAATTACTCGCTAATCTGAAATTCAAATTTAATTGGGCGACCTGCGTGTCTGCGTGTGTATACACATGCATATATATTTATATTTATATGTAAATGTATGTTTACATGTAAATATATGTTTGCATACAAATATATCTTTAATATGTAATACGGTGTCTGTCGCACACATATTATATCGTGTATGTAATGTATAAGTATTTATTTCGTTTGCTTGGGGTTTTGTTTGCTTTTGCTGAGTCCGGCCCCGCTACCTGCCTCCTGGCCCTTGCCTCACGCTCCAGTGCCACTGAGATCAAGGAGAGAACGAATTTGCCGCTGACTGGGCGGAGCGAGCGCGTGGATCGCGGGCACCGCCAGTGCCTCACCCGCGCGCATCTGGGCTGGCACCGGGCGAAGAATTGTGCGGGTCCGGGACCTGGGGGCCCAGCCGCAGCCGCCCCAGGCACCGGAGAGCGAGCTCCTGCGCGGGCGAGCGGTCCGCAGGTCTCGCAGGCTCAAGGCCGTGCCTCGTCCTCTCCCCTACTCCGGACCCCGGTCCTCTTGCCTAGACAGCGGCCCCCTCCACCCCTGGCTCCCGCAGGCCGCTAGTAGTCCGCGCCAGGCCCCGCCGGCGCCTCTAGGGCCCCCCAGACGCACAGACCCTGTCATCCCCGCCTGGCCCTGGGTTCTGGGAGCTGAGAGCCGGCCAGGGTCTTGCTCGCACCTCCGGGCGCCCAGCCTCGGATCTGTTCCCCGCGGACGCCCCAACCTCCCCGGGGGAATGGATGGCGGTGCGCGCGCGTCCTACTCTGGCGGTGCCGGCCTTTTCTATTCCCAACTGGACCCAAACCCATGCATGGGATTCGTCTTTGTGTCCCCACCCCGTGCGCCCAGCAAACAGTGGGTGAGCCATAAAGATGTGCGGAAGTCAGCCGGACCCTCCCGGTCAGGCGCGGACCTGCTGCGGCCAGAGAACCCAGTCTGCACCAGCCCGGCTAGCTCGAGACGCCTAGGGCTTCACTGACGCCGCCTTCCAAGACGTGGGGGTAACCATGGGCAGAGGGCATCGGTTCGGAGCCAGATCACGGGCCCCGTAAGCATCAGACCATAAACAGCGCCGCCACTGAGAGCCGCTCGGAACTCGCCCAGCATGTCCGGCCCCCTAGCCAGGGCCTGGTGTACGTGGTCTAGGGCCCTGGAAGCCCCAGTGGCCTAGGAGGAGCAGGGAGGCAGGACGGCGTGTGCCGCCGGCCGGGAGGGAGTCTCGGCCTGATCTAGCGCGGGTCTGGTGCGCGCAGAGAGCAACTCCAAGCGCACCGACGCCCGCGAGCTCCTTCCAAACCCTGGAGGGGATCCAGAGCCCGAGCCCACAGGCGGCGGCCGGGGGAGGGAGCAGGGTGCTGGCCGCCGCCCGGTAGTGTTCGCGTCCTGAGTGACCCCTGGAAGGACATGGGGCCCAAACTCCGGCTGGGGTTGGGAGAGCAGCCCCCAGAGGGTCTCCGCGGGATCCTCTGCCGGGCGGGACCGCGGCTCCACAGGCGGAGTGGGTGGCAAGCCCTGCTTGGCGGACTGCAGCCGTTCCCCTCCTCCCGGCCCTGGGGCGGCGCTCCTCACCCCTGTTCCCCGCCCCTCACCCCTGTTCCCCGCCGGCCACATCCCCTGCCGCCTGGATTCCAAGCGCCCCGCGCGCCGAGGGGCCCAGCGCCAGTGGCGGCGGCCCGGAGAGAATCCGGGTGTTGGGAAAGATGGGCCGTCTGGGGGACAGCAGGGAGTCCGGGGGAAACGCAGGCGTCGGGCGCAGAGTCGGCACCGGCGTCCCCAGCCCAGCCGAAGGTCGTGGTCGGGTCTGGCCCGCGGGAGGGGCCCTGGCGCCTGACCTGCTTCGGCCCTGAGTGGGCGGCCTCGCCGGGCTCGGCAGGGGCGACGCGCGCCAAACGGCGGCGGGAAGGAGGCGGGGCAGAGCGCGCCCGGGACCCCGACTCGGACGCGGCCATCTGGGGAGGCGGAGCGCCGGGAGGAGACCTTGGCCCCGCCGCGACTCGGTGGCCCGCGCTGCCTTCCCGCGCGCCGGGCTAAAAAGGCGCTAACGCCGGCGGCCGCCTACTCCCCGCGGCGCCTCCCCTCCCCGCGCCCATATAACCCGCCTAGGGGCCGGGCCGCCCGCCCTGCCTCCCCGCCCGCGCACCCGCCCGGAGGCCTGTGCTCCCGCGAAGGGGACGCAGCGAAGCCGGGGCCCGCGCCAGGCCGGCCGGGACGCACGCCGATGCCCGGAGCTGCGACGGCTGCAGGTAGGAGGGCCGGGGCCGGGGCGCGGTTCGGCTCGGCAGGCAGGAGCTGGAGCGCAGGGCTGGGCAGGCACCTGGGCTCGCAGCTCCGAAGCTGGGAGGTGAGGGGAGGACGATCGGGGACGAGCTGGGACAAGGCGACACAGGGGCTCCCTCGGAGTTGGATCGGCCCCTGGGACTTGGCGCTCGCGAGGGGCTGGAGCGGCCAGAGTCGAGACTGCGAGGAGATGCGGGTCCTGCCCTCAGCTCCGGCCGCCTTTGGCGCCAAAGACAGCCCCGCAGGGGTTCCGGGAGGGCCCTCCTCCTGCTGTCCCCTCTCCACCCCGGGCTCCGAGGGCCGTTGGCAGGGTAACCCCGGGAAGAGGCAGGGGTGCGGGGCGCGGGTGCAGGTGGAAATCGCCGGCAAGCTCCTCCCCGCCCCCGCGCTCCCTCCGACCTGCAGGGCTGTGCCAATCCCGAGGCCTTAGCTCCCCCGAGGAGCCAGAGCCAGGCCCTCCCTGGACAGGGAGAAGGATCTGGGCGGGGGCCTTGACCCAGGGAGTTGGTTACTAAGCGGTTTCGATGGTTTTCCGAGGGACAGCTCCCTGTGGCCCTGAGTTTGTCAGTCGAGGGCTCCTGACCTGTCGCGGGTTCGGTCCCAGGTAGAGAAAGCCCGGGAAGAAACGGTCCGGGCCGGCCTGGAGGGAGACACCTCCCGCCCCCTTAGCTCCTGGGCCGCCTCCTCCTGCAGCCCCTGCCTCTCCCGCTGCTGCTTGGACTGGGGGAGCGATGATTACCTTCATTCAGCTTGTATTTTGGTCTGGACACTAGGAAATAAGCCCACGTAGTATGCACATGTCTGCTACATAAACAGGGGACAGGTAGACCATCTTCAACTAGCAAGGGTGCAGGGAAACGCATTGCACCCCAAACTTCTGACCAGAGGTCATTTGCTTCCGAAGGTACTGCCATCTGTTTATCCACTGTCTGGACGTTTGGAAATGGTTCAGGCTCATTAACACAATGCTTTGGTTTGTGTTGTTTTGTTTTTTGTTGCTGTTGTTGCTGTTTATTTGTTCAGGCTTAGCTCTGGGGGAGGAAAAAACAAAACGCATGGCCTCTGGCGCTTACTGAGCGCTGAGCCACCCCTCTTTGGATTTATTCGGGAAAAGATTAAAAAGCATTGCATTAAGAACAGGACATGGTGTTTGAAATGTTGCCATATATGAATGTATGCATTACGTATGTAGTTTTTAAAATAAGATAAAAAGTTGGCTGGGCACAGTGGCTCACGCCTGTCATCCCTGCACTTTGGGAGGCTGAGGTGGGTGGATCACCTGAGGTCAGGAGTTCGAGACTAGCCTGGCCAACATGGTGAAACCCAGTCTCTACTTAAAATACAAAAATTAGCTGAGCGTGGTGGCAGGCACCTGTACTCCCAGCTACTCCGGAGGCTGAGGCACAAGAATTGCTTGAACCTGGGATGGAGAGGTTGCAACGAGCTGATACCATGCCACTGCACTCCAGCCTGGGCAACAGAGCAAGACTCTGTCTCAAAAAATAAGATAAAATGGCCGGGCGTGGTGGCTCACACCTGTAATCCCAGCACTTTGGGAGGCCGAGGTGGGTGGATCACGAGGTCAGGAGATCGAGACCATCCTGGCAAACACGGTGAAACTCCGTCTCTATTCAAAATACAAAAAATTAGCCGGGTGTGGTGGTGGGCACCTATAGTCCCAGCTACTCGGGAGGCTGAGGCAGGAAAATGGTGTGAACCCGGGAGGCAAAGCTTGCGATGAGCCAAGATCCCGCCACTGCCCTCTAGCCTGGGCGAAAGAGCGAGACGCCGTCTCAAAAAAAAAAAAAAAGATAAAATAAGATAAAAAGTTGGTGCCAGAGGCTGCAGTGTGGCAGCTGCCTGTTGTCAGTCAGGGGTTGCCTGGGGTGAGTAGAAGGAGGGCCTGAGCAGGGCTTGTCTGTGCACCGCAGCCGCCTGAGAATGGCCAGGGATGTGAGCCCTGCCTTGCAGTCATTCTTGTGAAGGCTACGGTGAACAGATAGCTGTCTCCGAATCCCGAAGGCCAGTCCCATGGAGAAGCTGGTCTGGCACAGTGGTTAAGGGAGTAGTGTGGAAGTCAGAATGCTGGGGTTCAAATCTCCCCTTCCCTATTTACTCCAGCAAGTCACTTAACCACTTGGAGCCTCAGGTTACCCATCTGCAGAGTAGGGTAATAGTTCCTGCCTCAGAGGCTTGGAGAACAGTCAGTGAGGTGCCATCCGAAGGGCTTGGGAGAGTGCCTGGCACCAGCTCGGTGTCCCCACATATGATGGCTTTGGGTCCCAGGCTCTGTTCCAGAGCTGGGAGAGCTAGGAGCCCTGGGGAGAGACCCGGCTCTTTAGTAGCTGGTAGCTATCTCCAGGGCAGGAGGGATGGCAGCAAGGCAGGCATCTGCCTGAGGCATGGGTGGAGGCCGA